AATTAAAATTAGTCATAAATTTAAAAGTTGCGATAACTTTTTTTTTGGTCCAATACTTTTGACCGGGAAGTGTACCTTTAATTACTGCAGTTGGATATGAAAGCCCAAAGGATAAAATGGAAAATATATATCATAAAAATATTAAAATTAAATCAGTAAAAGCCAATAAACCTATTACTAAAGGAGAATCTCTTTAACCCGTTATCTATTAGCGATATATTAAATAATTTAAAAATTATATTATGCTTTTATTAATAAAATTTTTATTTAAATAAGTATATCTAACATACCTCATAAACGGATCCTTTAATATTTTAAAATAATTATCGCATTTGTTTTCTTTGCAATTCAATATTTTCAATTAACTAACATTTCCATCAATCTAAAACAAATTCTGCAAGATATTTAATAATATTGTACACATTCTAAGCTTTCATTATCACAAGTCGCATTTATAGTAATTAATTTGTTGCATAGCTACTCAAGTACAATTGATCCAATCTGAATTATAACCATTATCTGTACAAAATATCTGTTTTAATTTTCATCTGCTACTAATTTATTAATCAACGTTCACTTAATTCTTATCTATATAAAAATTTTTCATTGTTTTGCTACGGTAAATGAAACAATAGTACATAAATTTTATCAACAATTAATTAACCATAATTGCATAAATCGTTAAGAATAGTACATATAAACTTCATATTTATTATTTCTTGATATATTGTCTTCATAACTTTTTGTTTAGTTGATAAAAAAATGAAATTTATGTTATAAATTGATGCTGAAATTCTACTTTTATCTGTTATTATAGAACGTATTTCATATGATTGTAATTTTTTTTAGATTTTAAATTACTAGTTTCCTTCTCTAGTATTTTATTTACTTTTCATCATCATTCTCTTTTAATGTTATTGAAAATATTCATCTCAAATAATACAATATATTTTACTTAAATAACAAATTTTATTTATTTATAAATAAAATTAATATTAAAGCAAAAAGTATGGTAATAATATAAAAATATATACTACAAAATAAACGTGAAAATGATAAAAAAAATATATAAAAATAAATGATAAAGAAGTATAATTGTAAAATTATATTCTAATTATATTTAAAATATTTTCTTTTGTTTCAGAGTCTATTTTTCCTTCATCTATTAATTTCTTTACTTCTTGAACATCAGCATAGTAATAACTACAAAACATAAATTTTTGATTTTAAAATATTTTACAAAAATTGTTTAAAGTAAGAAAAAGCATGTTTACATTAAATCAGAAAACCATGATTTCCAGCGTCTTCTTTGATTCGGTAGTAAATAAAATAATTCAATTTCTTTAAGGATCTGTATTAATAAATGATAATGTTAATAGAGTGTTTAAATATCTTAAGCTGATTTACATTATACTAACCTCTGCCTTTTGTGCTATATAAGTTACTCGATCTTTATCTGCTTCAATTGCCATATTTAAAAGTCCAATTAACAAGTTCATGAGAAATATAACGATGATAAATGAATATAAAAGCATTAAAACAATCATTGTTTTATTATTCTCAGGTGACCATTTTTCAAAAAAAGTACCATCACCTATAAAAAATTATATATTTTTAGACAAAGATTATTGTAAATAATTTTTAAAAAATTCAAATAATTAAAAGGTAATGCATCAGATAGGAATAAACTCATTGCTAAAAGAGAGTTGGCATAATTTGAAAATAAATTTGTATATTCATCAGGAGCTTTAAAAAAAGTTATGTTCGAAATAATTTTTCCATCCAAAACTTGATATATTTGTCTATAAGACTCCAAGGATTATTAGGTTCTGTTAAATTTCCTAAATCATTTTCAGAAAACGGAGATGTAGGTTCTAATAAAATCATAAATGCGTGGGCAAAACTCAATGTAATAAGAATTAAAATAAAAAAAAATGAATAAATTTTGCGAGCAACACTAAGAATTATAGCAAAATAAACCCCAAATGATTCAAATGTTCGAAAAAAGAGTATAAATTTCATTTCAAGTATAAGACATGAAATTGATACTAAGGAAGTATTAATTTCTCCATATTTGTACCAAAGCATTGATGTATACGTAGGTAATATATAAGCACCTAAGTCTAAAATTTAAAAAAATATAAATTTTTTTTTTGTTTTTAAGTATTAAAGGAGTAAAAATAATAATTTATGCATACCAATAAAATTCCAAAAATTTTGTAACCATCTATAAGGATTCCATAAAAATTGACGAATTTTAAATAAAAGATGAAAGCAGCCAAAAAATATGGACACTATTAATATGCTATTTCTATTTTCTTTATCAATTGTTGAAGCCATTGTAAAACAAATAAGAAAGATGGTATATAATAACCAAATTATTATATAATATATTTCTCCATATACTCTCCATTTAAAATTAATTAAAGCTTTGCCATTCCAAGTTTTATAAAATTTAATATTATTTGCTTCAATATAAGGATTGGATTGAGGTATTAAAAAATCAAAAAGCCATACAACACAGTCAAAAAATTTAGAATATGAATATGAATATGAATATGAAGCATAATAAGGAAATAGATTTAAGAATAAAAGAGTCAGTTTTCTAGGTTTGCTTCGTCTAACAAAAACAAGAAGCATGACCATCATTATTATTGCATATATGTAATTACTTAATGCAACGAAAGTATTTTGGGAAATATGCTTTGACAAAGTAATAATTATTAAGATCATATGTGAAACTCGTAAAAAGTATTTTAGTTTTTGAAAGGGACTTTCTTTATATAAAATATATATAATCATTGATGAACAGTATATATTGTATAATAGAACAGAATTTACTGTTACCAATAACAATAAGAATGTTCTTAACTTAAATTCATTTTCAATCGAGAAATACTTATTAAATAATTTAGTTGAAATATATCCAATAATTGATATTGCAATAAATGAGAAAACGACAGTGGTTTCAATACTTCTATTAATAATTGTCACTATAATGAATACGCATAATAATAATAATAAGAATAGTAATGCTAGATGTTTTCTGAATAATAATGCTAAGTAACTTTTTTTAAAA